GGAACAGTCTCGAAACCGGGCGGTGTCCAGGTTTCCAGGTGTCCAGTTGTCCAGTCAGCTCCAACCTGCCAAACTGCACTGGTTACAAGTCTTCCTACTGGCTGCCACATGGCATGTGGGCTGCTAATATTCCCGCCAGTCTTATACAAAAAAAGGTACGACAGCCATAGTAAGGTGTAGGGGAAAGGCTGGAAGGCTGGAAGGCGGTTTAACGTCTAACTTTAAGAGAGCTCTGCCCACTTTGCGGTGCTGCACTCCACTAGTTTCCCCCACCATAGTATGCTTCTATGGAGGGCGGACAAGCTGCGCAACCATTCTGATAAGAAGCACATCTAACAACGTGCGCTTTGAAGTTGCATGCAAGACGCTGAGAGGCGGCTTCATCGATTCACATCAACCCTTCAAGTGTTGCGCAATCGCTTCAGGTAAGACACTGGCATGGCAAAAGCACACCTCAAGTTAACTTCCTTCTCAGCGCCAGATACAGGTGAAAAGACCCATTCCTGTCACAAGCCTCTTTGATGCTGATGGAACTTTCTGCGGCCGATGAATTCAAGCTTATGAATAGCTCTTGACCTGAATGGGACCTGAATCAAGCAATTGCTGTTGAGCTCTGACAGTGGAACACATCTAGGGGATAAGGGGGCATCAAGCTGCAAACAGGCAAGACAGGAAGTTGGCCGCCTCTTCCCTCTCTTGCTTGCTAAACAATGATAGCTTGTATCTGCTCAGTGGAAGCCGCGGGAACCAATGGAAATATGCAACGTACTTCCCAAATACTTTGCAGCTAAAATATAATCCAGCTCGTTTTGGTGTACGATTGTTCAATCAAGCTTCAAGTAGTATTCTGCAATCACTGATGTGCGGGCAGCTTGTGAGCTGTCATACTTTCATGTGTCTCATTGCCTAATCAGGGCATAATGCTTTCAGCTCAAGTGGCGCTTTTCAAAGCAGAAGAGTGTCTGTCAATGTATTAGGCAACAGTGCAAGTTACGATATGGCCACTTTTGCCAACGCTTATTGACGGGTTTATCTATCCAGTGATCGTCATTAGGTCTGTGTCATCATCGGGGAGATTGTGGGAGCAGCTTCCAGTCAAACAAGCTGACCCAGTCCGTGTACCTCCTTCCAAAGCTGCATCACAGCGTCAGGTATGACTTGGGAGCTAAGTGTTTCAGCTGATCATGTTGAAACGTCTGGCTTCCAAGCTGGGGTGGGGGATTCAGGAGACTAGCGCGCATTGTTTTCATGGCGCGGGTGGTGATATGTCACGTGACCCTCAATCCGTATGGGTTGACTTTCTTCGTAGCATCATTTGATAACAAATAGCGCTGGCGGCCAGCACACAGCGATGCAGTGCAGGAAGTAGTCACTTCGGTAAACCTCAGCTGTTCAAGCATCCTTGCTTCCAATCAGGCCCGCAACTTTGACGAATTTTATGCACTCTCTTGGTATATCAATGAGGAACAAGAGGTTAGAAACAGCTGGTCCACATCAAGGATTGAGCAAGCACGTGCTTTTAACATGAAGGTGCCGCTTCAAGCATGCGGCCCTGAGCGTCGGAAAGGTCATTTTGCTGCATAGAGTAGATCAGAGTTGTCAGGGGTCCCGATCAGTTCTAGGGCTGCTGTCTCCGCTCCCTTGAGCGTCATACAAAGATGAGAAGCTGATAGTCAGTGATTCGGGGCCCAATAGATCAGGTCCCAGCTCCGGGATACTTTCTTTCACGTTTTGAGCTGGTCAAATGCTGCCTAAAGGCAGCGCAGTGGTTCAGATTTTTGCACCTCAGATTTTTTGTATCATGTTAGTGGCAGCTTATTAAATTTCTTCTTTGATTACAAGACTGTCTGGACTGAGGAGTTTTGATGTCCGAGGCTTGCAGGATTTACAAACAAGGGGTTGAAATAGTTAGCCCACAAATGTATTGTAACAGAAAGGAGAGCCAGACTCATTGGATCTGCAACCGAAGTACTCAGTTTTTTTCGTTTGTGTTGAATGCCTTCCATTACTTTGCTGTGCAGCGGTGAAGGCCTTCTAGGATATGGCGATGACTCGCCCCCATGGAAGGACCAAGTCCGATTACCGGGTTTGTCAGGAGGCGCGACATGCACGCGCCGCCGACTACAGGGACCGCATCACGATCAGCACTGAGAAGCAAGAAGCTCTCATCGCTGCTGTCAATGCGCAGTGCGAGGCTGAACCTTCCCCTCGCCGCAGGCGGGACCAACAGTCCAAGATGGCGCCAACTTCTTGGGGAATCTCGCCGGGCCGTCCTTGCAACTCACCTGCAAGGGCGAGAAAGGCTGCACAGCGGCACCTCGCCCGGTCACTTGGTAAACCTACAGCAAAAGGTGAGAAGCCAGCGCCTCCAAGCAAGTCACTTGCCTCCGCTTCCCCTCAATCTTTCTCAAGCGTCTTTGATGCCTGAACTCCATGCCGGTTTTGACAAGGTGTCCAAGAACGGCCAGCATACCTGGCAACGCTGCATAGTCCATAGGATGGAAGCTTGCGCGAGTAAACTCGAGCTTGATCATGTTGCAACGCAATATGGCAGCATTGCTGTCATGGTTGCTCCGTCCCTGGCTGCCCTCATTTGATGTGTCATAATTCGGAGCAGCTTGAGGCTTAAGTAGTTTTTGCAAAACACAAGTTGTGCACCTGCTTTTGACTGCAATTTATACTGTACTATTTGTACCCTTCCAGATCCGCATTGCCTCCACTGCCACGAGTGCGGCAGTTTGGGGTTCGTGGAAGTAAGGAGGGTGGAGAAGTGAGATACTTCTGCAGTGCGCACGCCGCTTCCATTGGCTGCTTCTGCATCGACAAAGACCGCGCAGGTGAGAGGTTCGGAAGGCCTCTGCAGCTCAATATGGTGCGCGCGTAGTTTAGCTAGGTTTACCCCAAGCTTTCAACCACGCACAATCGTCATCACGTGCAGGATCTCATATCAATGCATCCGCGTTTGCAGTCTGGGTACAAGACCGCGCGCAGCGCCGTTTGAAAGCGGAGCTTGCGAGACTGGAAAAGGAGCTGCAGCAGATGGACGAGGCCAGCTTTTCTGCAGGACCAACTGGCCGCCTTCCAGGTGAATAACCTGATCATCAACCTGGCGGCTCGTTATTCTTTGCTGATGGCTTTAAGCGGAGCTGGGGGCATCTTTTATTGTTGACGGCTTGAACTCGGGTAGAGAGTGTCCAAGCTGTCCAAGCTCTGACGTAAAACTTTTCTGGACCGAGTTGCTGACGTCATCGATCCTTGTAGGTGATAGCGTGGGTTCGGGCAGGGCCTGTCCATGTCCAAAGTGTCCAAGCTCTAACGTAAAGTTTTTGGGATTCGACTTGCTGACGTCATCGATCCACGTAGCTGACATCGTGGGCTCGGGCAGGGCCTGTCCAAGTTGTCCAAAGCTCTAGATATCGTAAAGTTTTTGGGATTTGAATTGCTGACGTCATCAGTTCCTTGTCTTGGACTCGGGCAGGGCCTGTCCGAGTTGTCCAAGCTTTGGCGTAAACTTTTGAGTCATTTGAATTGCTGACGTCATCCGTTTCTTGTCTTGGACTTGGGTAGGGCCTGTCCAAACTGTCCAAGCTCTGGCGTAAACTTTTCGCTCATTCGAATTGCTGACGCCATCAATTCCTTGTCTTGGACTTGGGCAGGGCCTGTCCGAACTGTTCAAGCTCTGGCGTAACGTTTTCGCTCATTCGAATTGCTGATGTCATCAATTCACTGGAGCTGATTACGTGGACCCGATCGGGGCCTGCCCGAGCTGTCTAAGCTCTTGTCCAAAGTTTCTCGTCGTTCAATGGTTTGCTCAAGTCATCAGTATCTTGCACATAGCTTACAGTAGCTGATTGCGTCGTCCGTTGCTTCTGCAGTATGGGATGATGCCAACTTCAAAATGGCGCTGCCCTCCACGAAGCCCATGAGCCATAAGCTGCTGGGTAAGGCGCTCAAAGTCTTACGAATACAGTCGTGGCACGATCTCTCAGCAGTGCCTACTCTTTTCTGCCTTGCAGCAAAAGCCCCATGAATCCAGCTTGATCTTACGGTTCCAAGTTGTCTGAGGGATCGAGCATTGCAGTGCGTCCTAAACGACGTCTTTCCAACGTGTGCAGCAATACTCTTGATGATTGGTTGCGTCGAGAGCAACCCGGGCCCCTCATCAGACAGGATGGACAGTGCGGAATCAGCCTCAGGCTTGGTTCCCGCCTTTGTCACAAACGCACCTGAATGCTGGGACGCCTTTGGAAAGCGGGGGAGGAGATTCGAGAATGGAGGTGAGCCATGTCTTGCATCTCTTATGTCAATGATATGATGCTGTTCAGAACGACAATCGGACTCTTCAAACGCCGTTGGAAGAGTAAGGTACGTTGGATTGGAGCCCAGTCCCAACGTTCCAGGCACCCTGATATACGTCAAGGCAGTGGCTATGAAAGAATGATGACGTCCTGAAATGAATGTTTGGAAAGTTTATGCAAAAGCTTGGACAGCTTGGACGCTCATGAGATCAGCATAGAAAGAATGATGACGTCCTGAAATGAATGTTTGGAAAGTTTATGCAAAAGCTTGGACAGCTTGGACGCTCATGAGATCGGCATAGAAAGAACCGTGATGACGCCAAGTTTTGAAGCAGAAAGTATCAACTGAGATCTTGCACGGGCTTGAAGGTTTTCTTATTAACGTTTTCGGTCGGCAGCTGAAGCGGGAGCTCTGTATGATCCGAGATCGACGTGGAGTATCGGATAGGGGGGCTGCCTTCATCCCGTTTCTTGCAATTGTGGACCCGAAGGTCGCTCGATTCCCGGCCAGTCTTTATTGCTTGCAATCTTGCGGGCTGTAATATGCGAATCTCCTTCAATGACTGGCTCGGTGTATGAGGTTTTTGAGCATGCGCTTTCAATAACGGCTCTAGTCTAATCGGGGATTCTGACACGAATCGTCGGTGTTTGTACATACAACCTTCCATTCATTTCTAATCAGGCGCTTTTTGGTCCGTGTGTAGTAGAAAAAGGGCTAGCTTTCAAAAGCTTGATCTGAATGGACGGCCGAAGTGCTTTCGTCGATCCGAAGACAGGATTCCCACTTTATTCGAAGCATTCTTGCAACTTCAGACGGTTTCTCAATCTGACCGACGTTGCTTCTTCCTCTTTCGACCAGGAGAGTGACGGTGCGAGCTTTGAAGCAGACTCCCAAGGAGAGGACATAGAGGACGTGGAATTCAACTACGAGGAAGAATCCGACAAGGAGACCTCGCAGGACCGCCAGTTGTTCGATGATTCATCGCAACCTCCCATTCCCCCAATCTGTGAGTACGCTCGGATGAACGCGGAGCTTGGGCAGTCGGGCACGGAGTCGGAGATTCGGTTCAATGGGGGGCGCAAGCGGGCCAAGCGCATAGAGAGGGATCAGAGCCCAGAGTCGCACACACGTGAGAGGGGGCGTCGTCGGGTAATCATGTCGTCGTCGTCGGAATCGGAATCGGAATTGGACGCGGAAGCGGAAGCGGAAGGGGAAGCGGAAGCGGAAGCCAATGAGTCGGGCTCCGAGGGGAGGGGACAGTCTGCTACCTCGAGCGAGTGGGGCGACGTTCCTGATGACGACGACCCTACATAGGTCTGGGACGATGAGCGTGAATCCGAGGAGCTCCGCGAATACTTCGGCGTCTGCCGCATTGACATTCGTTCAGAGCGGGACTGCGGGGAGTCCATCCAGGTGCGACAAGTTGATGTACAATAATCCTTTATTGCTAATTGACAACTACTCAATGGGATTGGCCATAATCAGCTGCCAACGTCATTGCACAGGCTTTTCAAAGTTTCACTGCCAAACTTGGATAAATCTGCTTTTGCAAGTCGGTCGGCTTGTCATTCTGGACTTGCTGGTCTGGCTTCGGTGGTCCGTCCAAGTGTCCAGGAAAAGTTCGACCAGCCTGCAACGTCCTAATGCGTTTTTCTGCTGACGTCATTGCAAAGCTCCGAGCGATTGTTTGCGGAGCTCGGACACTTGGACACTTGGACAGCCCAGGTATCTGCCAGACCTTTTTGATGGGCTTGCTTTCGGGAGTTTGGATCTACGCTGGTGGGCTGTCCAAGTGTCCAAGGTTTGGCATAAGATCTTTTGGGCAGCTTCTTGCTGACGTCATCGCACCGATTCCTCAGAGATTTGTCTGCAAACTTTGGACATCTGACAGCCGAAGTATCCGGCGGACGTTTTTGATGGGCTTGCTTTCATTGGAAGTCAGGGTCCGGTGCGTTGTCCACGTGTCCAAAAGGTTTTGCCAAAGTATTCGCGGCTGCGTTTTCCTGACGTCATCACACAGGCTCCGAGGAGATTTGTTTGCTGAGATCGGACACTTGGACAGCTCAGGTATCCGCGATTGTCAAATGATCAATGGTCTGGCTTCTGTTAGCTTGGGTGCTTGATCATGGGCTGTCCAGGCGTCCACGGATTTGCCAAGACAATCTGTGGCTACGTTTTTGTTGACGTCGTCCAAATCTTTGCGGGGCGTATTTAGAGCGTAGCCGCTTGGATATTCAAGGGTCTGTAGCTGAAGACTTGGATAGGTTGCTCGATTATAGGATGCAAATCTGCTCTATCTCGCAAATCTGTCGACAGTCGACCTGAGACCGCTTCCTTCTTTCTGCAGGGGCCAAGCCCGACTCTTGAGGCTCCTGCGCGCGTGCAGACCGGGTCGCCATCACAAGTGGACCCCATCCTGGCCGCCGCCCATTACTTCCACGGGCTCGGCATCGTGACCGTCATCACGACCTCGAGGAGAAGCGTAATGAGTTAAACGACAAGGTCTACAAGGTCCCCTGCCGCTGGCCCTCCCCTGGCAAGACCTGGAAAGACGCCAACCTTGGCAACTGCCTCTAGGAATTCGCCAAGCCAGGGCGCAACACCATCGCCATCGTTGCGGGGGAGTCCGACATCCTTGCGGTCGACGTGGACGTGAAGGATGGGGGCTACGAAGTGCTTGAACAGATGCTCAAAGATCACGGGGGTTTTCTGGAGGACACGCCCCGCCTAAACACCGGGAATGGGGGGCTGCACATCCTGTTTTCCTTGTCTCAGTCTGAGCAAGCCGGCCTGCGCAACTGCTCGAACAGGGCTTGGATTCGATACGAGGGCAAAGCGGTGGGTATCGACGTGCGCGGTCGTGGCGGAATGCTGTACACCGCGCCCAGCAGCTACGTGGGCCTCGACGGCACGCTGCGGTGCTACACGTGGGACCACGAGATTCTCCCAGACCGGTCTAATCTCAGGGCCACCCCAGACTCGCTCGTCGCCATCCTGAACGGCAGCGGCGAAGCACCTAACGGGGGCGCGGAGATGCGTCAGAGAAGCTCCAGAGCCGGGTAAGTCTGAGTGCTTGGCGTTTGACTACTTCAATCGTTGTTGCATTTTGGTGCATTTCGCTGGTCCACGCCGTCCAAGCTTTTCTGCAAGGGTTCGGACTAGTGGTGGAGGATGATGTCTGCAAATGAATCACGCGCCCTGCAAGTGTGAAAAAAATATTCTGCTCAAGGTAGCCCTTGGACCAGTTCGCGCTCCGCCTCGTGCTGAATTGCGTGCTGAACTGCTTCTTCTTTGCATTTCTGCCGTGTAGACCTTGTTGCTTCCTTGCTATGTAAAGGCGAAATCTCGATCATAACTCGTTCTAGTTATGACGTTGCCTCCATCCTCGACACTAACTTGCCGCCTCTTTCGTGTCTTGCAGCGGAGCGCAGGCCGCTGTTTATGGACCTCCGATCGAAGACTCTCAACAGATTCCACCCGCAGCGGTGCTGGAACGCGTCAAGGCCTGCGTGGCGGCTACTGGCGACACCGCATTTCGCTTTGATCGCCTCAAGACGGGCGACAACGGGCCCATGTACGTTTTCCGAGTGGAAGGGCCCCGGCGCTGCCCAAAGGGCAATCAGCACAACGGCAGCAACAACTTCAGCGTTTTGGTGCGCGGCAAGGACCTGAGCACTCTATTGCTGCAACAGCTCGGAGTGTGTGGGGGTCCGCCCCTTTCCAAGGATTGGAGAGCTTACGCTGCGGGAGAGCATGCTGGATGGCGAGACAGCCCCTGTCGCAGCTGAAGACGTGACCATGTACAAAGGGCTGACAAAACACTTTGTCGACGCGTGGGCGTTTCACAAGGACAAGGGCGGAAGTCGGATTGCTGCACAGATGTACTCGAAGTGCCGCAGGTGAGCTGCAATAGAGAGCACAGATTCCATGTGTCCAAAGTGTCCGAGCTTCTGCGCAACCTTTTAGTGGACGAGCTCCGATGACGTCAGCACGCGCCCGCCAGGTAGAGATCATCGTTCCTGCTGTATTTGACAGTGCAGATCCAAGTGTCCAAAGTGTCCGAGCTTCCGCGCACTCTTTTTTAAGGACGAACTCTGATGACGTCAGCACGCCGTGCTCGAATCCACGCTATCACCTACAATGGTTTGATAACGTCTGCAAGTCGATTGACAAGATACCATTCGCTCGAGCTCGGACAGTTTGGACAACTCGGACGCTGACTTCATCAGAGCTCGTCCATCAAAAAGGTGTTTCCCGCTTGCAGGCTTTGGCATGACGGGAAAAATTGGTGGATGTGGGACGGAAAGCGCTTTCAAAGAGACATGAGCCAGTGTTCTTCTCGTGTCCGGTAGATCATCATGCACCAGCTCAGCAGCGTGTATGGACGACTCCGATCAGAGTTGAAGGAAAAGCTGAGCGAGACCACCGACGACGAGGAGGCGGCAGAGCTGGCCGCTCTCCTCAAGTCCGTCAAGTCCTATGACGCCACGCACGAGATCTCCGAGACGTTGAAGATTATGGAGGGGGAAATGTTTCTGAACCTGGCCGAAAAGTTGGACGGCATCCCCGACATCCTCAATGTCCAGAACCCCGACATCCTCAGTGTCCAGAACGGGGTGGTCGATCTGCGCACTGGTCATATGGACATCCACAGGCCGGCGTATATGTGCACCATGCTAGCTGATGTGAACTATAAGGTGAGAACTTGCAGTTTCCGGTTTGTACAAGGTACATGTCGCTCCATCTTGTCGTTTTAGTTGCCATGATATGACAAGCTTGTAGTTTCGATGCGTCTCTCGCTCTGCAGTGCCAGTTCAAGCTCGCAAATCCGCAATTGGTATTGAACAGACAGAGCAAACTTACTTTAGGCATTGGAATCAAAATAACTTGGAAGCTGGCGCGAACCTGCATGATCCCGATGAGCTGGAGGTGAAGAGCTGGCCATAGGCTGATGAAGTTCCGACCAGCAAGTTGTGAGCTCTTGTACGGGCCGACTCAGTATTGCATTCTCCAGAATAAGTATCATCCAGACTCCCTTTCGGTTTTAGGGCAGGAAAGAGCACCCCGAACCTAGTGGAACGTCAAAGCCTTCCTTATCAAACAGGCTCCGCCATTGCTCGAAAGGTCCACTAGGAAGGCAAATCAAGAGCTTACGGCCAATGATGCAAACTCCTTGCAGGGCCTGGATTACTCCACCCCCACGATCGACCACTTTTTGGGGGACATATTCAACAAGGATCAGGCCCGGATCGACTTCATGCAGCTGCTGTGGGGATACTCCATTAACGGGCGAACATCAGCGGAAGTCCTGGTCTTCCTTCTCGGCAGCGGCGGTAAGTCCGAGCCTCTTCTGTGTGAGGCACAGTCAAAGCTTCTCCAGAAGGCGCCTTTTTCGCGCCTTCTTCTGAAGTTGAAACACCATCGCAGCTCAGTTATAGCACATTTTGTTTCATCGAGCTTTCACTTGACCTCTCTTTGCTTCTTGCACAAATGAGGTTGGGCAACATCCGTTTGTTGCAATCAGCAACCCTGGCGAAAGGCATTGCCGGTCGTTACGGTAAGGTGATCAACAATAGGGCAGAGATGTGTCCATGGTGTCCGAGCCTTTGCATGACCTTTGTCCGGACGAGTCTGGATGACATCAGCCCATGGCGGGCAAAAACTACTTGTACTTGGCGGCGAACCCGTCCAGATTCACACTGTGACTTCTGCGTTTGTGTGCAGGCAATGGCAAAGGAGTCTGCAAGCAGATGTTGGAGACCACGTTGGGTGATTACTACGGCGTGATGTCAAAGGATGCTGTGGTGAAACCTCCCAGGCAACGGCCTCCCTCCAAGGGTGCCGCGACCGGCTACCTGGCCGAGTTGCGACGCAAGCGGATCGCCCTCACCGATGAAACCAGCCCTGGCGAGCGCGTGGATCTAGGGCTGGTGTTGGAAATGACCGGAGGCGGCAAAGTGCAGGCCCGAGCGCTGTTCGAGAACAATAGCGCCTTCCGTTTCTCCCACACGCCTTTCATCCAGACCAACTACGACCCCGAGATCCCGCCAACGCTTGCCAAGCAGCCCAACATCGAACGCCGTCTGATTGTGGTCCGTTTTCCGAACGAGTATGTAACGGAAGGCATGTTCGACGCTTCGAATGCGAATCACAGACCAGCGGACGCCGGGCTCAAGGACCTGATGGAGACGGCGGCAGTTCGGGAGGAGTTCCTCACCTTTCTGGTGAAAGGAAGTTGCGCCTGGTTTGCTGATCCGAATAGCTTGAAGAGACATCCTCCAGCAGTCCAAGCAGCGCGGGATGCGTGGTTGCGAAAGGGGGACAAGTTGCAAACGTTCTTGAACGAGCACTGCGTTCTGGATGTAGAGCCCTCTTTGGAACGCCCGAAAAAGAAAAGTCGGTGACTTGGGAGGATAATTTCTGGGGGCGGTTCCAAGTCTTTGCGGGGTTGAGAATCCCAAAGGAGGAGCTGGCTAGACAGATGCAGGAAAAGGGTTATTTTAGGAAGAAGCGGCGCTACGATGAGGGCGATTCGGGAACGAAGAGGGCCCTTTGCTACTTGGGCATCACGTGCGAGTACTAGTTTGGTCTCGTCGTATCTATTGTAACATATTGAAACTTCGGTGGATTGTGGGTAGAGTCACAAGAAGATTTGCGTTTAAAGCAGAGTTTCAAGAGGAAGTTTTGATGGTGTGTACGTGTATGGTTGTGCACTATAGTTGATCGTTTTGTCTTAAAGTAGATCTTACCAGTATACGTGAAGACATGGACCATCCACATATATATTCTGGCACATCGGAGTGGCTATATTGCCTGCACCCGTGCATGCACTGAAAAGATGCACGTAACCGTGATCGGTTTACTCTGTCAACTACCGGTGTTTGCGCCATACTCCATAACTAATTGCATTACGCGCGCTCGCATCACCAGCATCCTTCTACCAAAAGTTGCGCAGAATCTTAATCACTCTAGACATAATTGTATACATGTGCCGCTGATAGGCCTCGTCTATCCTTATCACCTATTGCTGACGTCATCGGAGCTCGTGCACCAAAAAGGTTATGCGGAAGCTCGGACACTTTGGACAAGTCGGTCTCGCCTATTTCGTGCTGACGTCATCGGAGCTCGTGCACCAAAAGGTTGTGCAAAAGCTTGGACAGTTTGGACAACTCGGTCTCGCCTATTTCGTGCTGACGTCATCGGAGCTCGTGCACCAAAAGGTTGCCCAAAAGCTTGGACACTTGGACACAGAATCCCATCTGATGACGTCACACTCGACGGCCATGAGGAGATGATTATCGGACAACCTCGGATACTTTGGACATGTGAACGCTGTTAGAAGCTTGATAGCTCCTGAGGGAGGCTGTTGCTTCCGCAATGTTTAGCTGAGGATCTGTGCATGGGACTAAAATCATTTGACTTCGCCCGAGCCATTCTCGCGGCTGTCCATATGTCCAAGCTTGAGTAACACCGGAACCTGGCATCTGATGATGACAGGAATCGGCGACCACAAAAATAAGTTGCGCAGAAACTTTGACACTCCGAACACATCGGAGCCTGTGCGATTACTATACAACACGCATAGGCCTCGTCGATCCCTATCACCTATTGCAGTCGCCATCAGAGCTCGTGCAACAAAAAGGTTATGCGGAAGCTCGAACACTTTGGACAAGTCCGGCTCGCCTGTTTCGTGCTGACGTCATCGGAGCTCGAGCCAAAAAGCGCTTGCGCAAAAGCTTGGACACTTTGGACAAGTCGGTCTGCGCTGTGTACTGTGCTGTTCCCAGTAACGTGAGGAGGTCTTGCTGCAGATTGGTATACGTCTTGATCGGACCGGTTTGTCGTGCACTTAGATACAAGATTGGACCGTCCATGACACACGTGATCAATCTATGACTTTGTTACACAGTTCACGCGCGCAGCCGAAGGCTGAGAGGGGCAAGTCAAAACGGGCAAGTGAAATTTCACCTTAAGTCGCAGACCAAAAGACCGGAAGACCGGATATTCAAATCTTTTGGATTATAGGATTAAGGCTTATTGTTGAAACTTTAAAAAAAAGTAAAATCAAATAAACCTGAGATTATGGTCTTTTGGACTTTTGCATGCATGCATGCATTAATTAATTAATATATATATCACAACCAACTTCCAGCCAAAGTACGCCGACTGATCTGAACCGTGAGATGGCTCTACTCGTGCGTGAAACTGGATTTGGACCGTCCGTTCGATTAAAATTCCATCATTCGATGTTCGCGACCAAAAAACGAAGGGCTGGATTTCGGACAGGCTTCGGACAGGAAGAAGATGACAGGAAAGACCCACTTCAGAGAGGAACTTGAAGGAGCTATTTGAGGACGAAAGGCGACGACAACTTTGACTATTCGAACATCTGAGCCTGGAAACTCAAGAAAGTAGCGGCCCATCAGGTCCCAAAGCCATAGAAGCGTGGGAGCAGGCTTTGAAAGTTGCTCTAGCCTGAGAATAATGCTGTAGGGACAGGGTGGCCTCCATGGCTTCAATCTTGATCTCCCACCAGAGTCTGCGGTGGCATTTGTACAGCCATTTTTCTTTTGCCATGAAACTTTGGCCAGCAGTTCAAGGGGTCACCACAAGGTTTTCACCGCAGGAAACAAGCAGATTCGAATCAGAGCTCTTGGCAGGTCTTCACAAATCGCAGGCATATCACCATATTTGCCCCTCCAGTGAACACAGTCTTCTTCCTTCTTTCTGGGAACAATTTTGATGGTTGACATGAGCAGTCAGCTGCAGATCAGCGGCAGGGGTGCCTATGGCAATGGTTGCAGAAGGGAATGTGCTGCAAGAGTGCAATGGTAACCGAACGCATCCTGTCCTGAAGAAAGACGTTTGCGTGTGTCTCTTTTCAATGTGGCGAAGGAACGCAGCTAATTGTTGTAGCTTGAAGGTTTTTAATGTCATGTGCCTGAGACCCACTGTTGAACCTGCCAGGTTGTGCCGTAAGCTGAGACTGGGATCGGTCTGGTTCCCTGAAGAAGGGTCAGCTTTTGAGACTACTGATTGGCAATGGGGCACACAGGTGCCCATGTTGGTCTTCTGGTGGGTCATTTGTTCTTGAGCCACCTTGGGTATACCAGATTGAAGCGCCAGACCTCCCGACCGCTGAAGCTAAACCGGGTGGCCCCGGAGGCGAACCCGACCCGGACGGACCACCGGTCGACTCGGCCGTGACGTCATCAGCAGCCTCCACCGCTCCCCTGCTGATCTCTTCAGATGGCGAGGAGACCTCGGACGACAGCTCAGACGACCCTTCGTCCGACTCTCCCGAAACATCAGCGGACACCCCAACAACATCTCCGACGGATAGCTCTGGCGACAGCACGTCGTCAACTCATCCTGACGTCATCATGAAGGACCGAAGCGCAGCAGACGGCACTCCTGACGTCACCCCCGACCCACCGACTGAAGGACCTCCGACTACAGGGACCCCACCGACTTGGGCCTCGTGCAAGGCTTCTTCCACCACATCAACACCGGCGACTCCAAGCCCGTCAAGATGCAACCTTACCGCCAAAGTTTCGCGGAAAAGGCGGAGATCGACAAGCAAGTGGGCCCCATGGAAGCGTGCGGCGTTGTCCAGCCCAGCGCGAGCCCCTTCGCCGCCGCTGTGGTGCTCGCGCGAAAGAAGAACGGCAAATGGCGATTCTGCGTCGACTTCCGCGGTCTCAACAAAGTGACGGTTCCCGACAACTACCCCCTGCCGCGAATCGACGCCATCTTCGACCAGCTGGGCAACTCGCGCTACTTCACCATGCTAGACGCGCAATCCGGCTACTGGCAGATACCCATGGCGCCAGAGGACGTCCACAAGACAGCATTCATCACTCACCGCGGCTTGCGCGAGTTCGTCCGCATGCCTTTCGGTCTAACCGGCGCGCCCGCGACCTACCAACGCGTCATGGACATCACGCTCAACGACGAAATTCACGGACCCGACCCAGTGGCAACCCAGTACCTGGAGGACACGTGCGTTCACACCGAAGCCTGGGACCAGCACTTGGAAGCCTTGGACGCAATCCTCACCAAGCTGGCCGCCATCAACCTCAAGCTCTGCCCAACAAAATGCTTGTTCGGCGCGAGCATCTCGGACACATTGTCCGCGAGAACCAGCTTTTGCCAGACCCTGAAAAGGTGAAGGCCGTGGCCAGCTGGATGACGCCGATCAACGCTCCGACGTGCGCGCATTGTTGGGAATGGTGGGCTACTACCGGCACTTCGTCGCGAACTTCTCCCGAATGGCGAAACCGCTTCGCCACCTGAGTAAACTTGGAACAGCGTTTGAGTGGAGCCCCAAACAAGCGCGCGCATTCGCGGCGCTCAAAAAAAATTCGCGGCGCTCTGCACAGCCCCCATCTTAGTGCGCCCCAATCCGGTGAAGCCGTTCATCGTCGACAGCGACTACAGCACCGACGGAATCGGCGCCGCTCTCAGCCAGCTGGACGACGACGGAAAAGAGCATCCAATCGCGTTCGCCTACCGGTCGCTTCGTGGCGCCGAAGTCAACTACTCCACAACGGACGGCGAACTTTTGGCGATGGTGTGGGCGATCACCGTCAAGTTCCGGCCCTACCTTTATGGCGGGCCCACCTTCACCTGTCGCGTGGACCACAATTCGCTGATCTACCTACATCAGCAGCGGAACCTTACCGGGCGACTGGCACGCTGGCACATGAAACTGATGGAGTACAACTTCACAGTTGTACACCGCGCGGGGCGCATTTGCAGCAACGTAGACCCGCTGAGCCGGCACCCACTCCACGACCCACCAGAGGAGGACTGGGACGACCTCCCCGCTTATGCCAGCTTCCCATCAGCCGACCTGCCAACCGGCGAAGCTCCCACCGTTCTCAACATCACGCGCTCGCGCCAACGCGCGACCGCGCCCCCGCCGTTCGAGAGGCGCGAGTGTTTCAACTGCTCGCGACCCGGCCACTTCTCTCCGGTGTGCCCTACGCGCGCGCAACGGCTCAACACAGCGGCTTTGCCTGAAGTCAACATGATCCTGGCGGACGACTTGGCCCCCGACTGGATGCCATCATTCGAGACGGCTTGCGCGGCACCACCTCTACCGGAATGGGAACCTGACGTCATCCCGCTCGACGTCTTCTCCACCTACCAACCCAACTTTGGCGGCGAACTGGTGGAAGCTGCTCCGACAGTCAACTACTGCGAGCCCAATACCGACTGGTGGAAAGGCCGAATCCCCTCCCCCCACCCGCTGATCAACATGGCACTCCACCGCTTGTTTGTACAATTGACTCAGTGACCGAGCCCGGGACGTCTCGGAATTGCAAGGGGACAGAGGTGTTCCCACCATACGCTATGAGGATTGGGCCCGCCAGCACCCGTCCGTTCCGTACGACGAAAAGGAGCCCTCACCAGAGCCAGCAACGGTACTGAACGCAGCTGTGGCGATTCCTTATCGATTGTGGGCCGCCCAGCACCCGGACTTCGCGCTTCAGAAGCATGCAAAGGTGCCAGACGCGGCTCCAGACGCGGCCCCGCAGAAGGCAGCACCGGAAGGAGCGGAACAACCTCTACCAACGGAGCCAACAACGGACGTACTGAAGGCGCCAACAGCCGCATCACCGGAGCCCTTGAGGGAGCCTACCGAGGCAACGGCGGAACAACCTGACCCAGACGAAGAAACGGAAGCATGCTTAGCGCTAGCTGCACTCGCAGCAGACGAACAGCCTCATCCTCAGCCTCAGCATCAGCCTCTCTCGGCGCAGCCTCCGGAGACTATAAACATCGCGGAAAAGCGCAACCTAACGGAGACCGAAGGCGATCAACCGGAGCTCCCGACTAAGCGCCTGGCGCTGGAGGACCGCACAGCGCTGGCCGTGACGTCATCACCGGAGGCCGAACCGCCGAGCCCCGCTGAGCCGTCCCTCGCGCTGACGTCAGCATCATCCGAGCCAATAGAACAAGAGCCTGACCTGAGGCTGGACGAAGTGAAGCTGCTGGACACTCAACTCGGCTGGATAATTTTCGAAATATGTCAAGCCCACGAGGAGGCGAAGAAGCTGCTGCCAGCACCCCCAGCCTTCCCCGACTTTCACGCGCTGACGGAAGCTAAAATGGCGGATTGGAGTCGAGCAGCACGGTTCCACCGCAACGGAGGGGACGACAGCTTGGTGCGAGCCGCTACCCTCAGCGAACGAGTGGCCCTCACTCTTGTTCAACAGGATCCGAACCTGACGGCGGCCGACGTTCTCGAGCGAGTGAAGTCCACCGTTCAACATCTTCGGCAGGGCCTGCAAAAGGAGATCGAGCTTTCGAAGAACGTACGAGCGGAACCAACAGAAGCCGCGGTGGTCCCCCTGCCCACTCCGGAGTTGGACAACCCCCCACCGTTCGACTTGGCCAGCTTTCCAACTCCTGACCCGCTGGAGTACGTCATCGGAGACCCTGACGTGGCATACTACTTCAAAACTGGCTGCCTCCCCGCCTTCCACGGAGAGCCGGTCGAGAGGAGGAAAGACCTCCGACGCCAGATCCGCGACCGGTCCAAGATGTACCACATGGCGGGCGAGCGGCTCTACTGGCTAGCTTCCCCGAAGGCGCACCCAAATCAGCCACCACCTCCCAGCGTCATCCGAAGGCCAGTGCTCACCAAACCGGAGGCCGACTCGGCGATGTACCACCTGCACAACCAGAACGGTCACCCCAACGTGAAGCAGACACGCAAGCTTATCGCCGACCGGTTCTACTGGAACGGGATGAGCAAAGACATCACCGACCACGTGGTCGCCTGCCCGCTGTGCTTGCTGGCAAACCAACCGACCACTGAGCGCTCCGACAATGGAACTTTGGTTCCAACCGAGAGAGACCTCCCCCGGGAGAAGGTGGGACTGGACCTTCTGGGCCCCTTCCCGCCGACCAAGGAGGGTTACCGCTACGTGGCGCTACTGGAAGATTACCACACGCACTACGTTCTGGGCGGCTTGCTGCGCTCAAACGACACCGACGAAGTCGCGGAATACCTGCGGCGCGAGCTGTTCAGTCATCACGGCTCACCAGCAGTCATCACCATGGACAACGCGCTCTCGGTGGGCACTGTCAAAAGTCTGTGCCAGGAGAAGGGCTCCTACATCCAGCCGCTGCCAGCGTACTCACCCTGGATCAACGGTCTGGCGGAATCAGTGGTCAAGCACTTCAAGCGGGGACTGCGGAAGCTGCAAGCTCGCTATGGCGACGACTGGCCCCGCTACTTCTACGACCTGCTGTTTGCGCACCGCATCTGCGTCCGGGGCGCCACACTCTTCTCGGCGTTCCACATGGTGTACGGACGCCATCCGATACTTCCGGTAGAGCGACTCTTCGCTCAACGCTACCGTACGATGCTGATCGCCACCGACGAGGAAGTGGATGACGTCACCAGCCGCTGCCTGGAGGACATCGTTA